GCCAGCTCCCTCTTAAAATACTTAAATATCTTCTCAAGAAGGCCATTTAGATCCTGAGTCTCTTTGGGTCATGGATCAATTTGAAAAGTCTACCAAGAAACACAGATACCAATTTGTGCATGCAATCTCAGGCACTCATGGATCCCAGCTTTAAAGTTGTCAGGTTTGCAGAGAGAAACTAGTGGTGGGATTTCATATCCATTCCACCAAATAAATTTTAGTTGATAACAAAGTGACTGACTCTTGCACTGTACAGAACAGAATCTGGCCTCTTAAAGACCGGTGAATATGGTCTTTCCGGGGGCTTGTAATATTAAAATGCCAAACCTGAATTAATGTGTTACATGCAACATCATTTCAATCCTTCAAGTCTTCACTCAGTTATTCAAGATTTTAAGTAACTTTTCCAGAAACACACACTTTTTGCGCCCACACCCGAACTGACTTAAAGCTAGTATCTAAACACCACCTACTCCATCACTTTCCCACACTGAAATGAAAAATTTACTCGTCGCCTGCAACAGTGAGAAATTTTGTAAGGTGTAGTATTCCTGAGAGAAGGGGCCTCAAGTAATGATCTATACCCACTACTATGCAACATTAATTCTGACAACCTATCTTTATCAAACACACAAAAAATTTACTTTCTCAGTTCTAGAATCAACCTGGCCAATTTAGTAATTCAGAAAGTCATTCTTATCTATCGCACTAGTTCATGATCTTGAAAACTGAAACCGTGCATGACTCACTTATTCTGCTCACACACAGCACACCTAAGCCATAGGCACAAACTCAGTTTCAAATGCAAGAATGTTTGCTCCTTTTGGTCCTCAGTGGATGGCATAGCCACCTGGGTGCAAACCATGGGAGGCCTCTTGTAACAACTTTAATAGACCCGTTTCATTTGTTTTCTACTATATATCATACACTCAGCTTATTTTAAAAATCAACCATTGATCCTTAGCTTTACTAATGCATGTCACTGAACAATTAACTTTACCGTAAACCTTGAAATGCTAATATTCAGTACTGTTATGTTCAGTCCAATGTGGGGCCTTCTGTGTAAGGTCTGTATATCATTGGACAGATTTGGTCACTAGTTAGCTTTGATAATTGTCTGGGGTCCTTAAAGATGTCTTTTTTGAGTCTAGAAGATTCTCAGTCCCAATTTACTGAATAAAAACTCCTATTCTTAATCTACTTCAAAAGTCTTTCTTTCAAAAACCCAAGTAAACATACTTATCACATGAATGCTAAAGGGCCATTCCTGAAGAGGAATATATATTTTGATGCCTATACGTTGCAGTTGTTTCTAACAAGTATTGTTACTTTATGAAATCTCTGTAATTTCATGGTATATTGTCACTGATTTAATCGAGCCACTGAAGAAACTGATTATGCTGTCCCGAATATGCAAAACAATCTAGTTTTCATGCTAACCAAATAACCTTCTGAGTAGCTAAAAATGAAACTTGTTTAAATATAGCTAATTTTAGCAGGCATTTAACTATAACACATTCTAAAAGGTTAATTGGTGGGGTAGCTGGTTAACCATTCATATACAAGTATTAAAAATGTTTACAGAATTACTTTTACAATAGCAATTACTAGTGCAAGACACCAGAAGCTGAATAATCTCAGTATGTGGGTGATAGTTCTAAGCACATGGGGTATGTCTAGGGGAAGGGTACCTAGAGAAACATGCCCTGGTGAGGAAGTACTTTTCTCACAAGGGTGGACATGGAATTGGAACACCAAGATGTGTAACTTTTCTTTAAAGAAACGCTTAAAAGAAGAATGTATTATCATTTCTTGAGGTTCTATAGATGAGCTGCAGTCCCACACAATAGAAAGTTTAAATACATTTGTTTGCCTGATATTCTAATTTGTTTGAATATTTTTCGTGATAAGGAGGGGAGAGTATAAGCATATTACATAGCAAGGATCAGATACCATCTTTTAATGTGCCATGGTTATACACACAGGATCAGACAAATTGACACTGACTCTAGTGTTTAAGTTGAATTCATGTAGGGTAACTTATTTATATATATATTTGCCTCATTCTTAGGCCCTAAAGGGTAAGTACTTAAGAAAATCCTGTTTTCTGAATAGTTCTTGCACTCAACTAAAATTTAGGAATATGTAAGAAAGGTTTTCTATTAGTTTCTGAGTAGACTGATAGATGATCCTAATTCCTGAACCGCCTTGGTTACATTATCATTTCAGATATATACAATCTGAGGCACTGTGGTGATAATTTTAATCAAAGTCATACGGAAAAACATATTAAAACTAAATATAAAATAGATTAACCAATTTAAAAAATAACTTATATGTCATCTTGCTTCTGATGTGGAGTACGAGGTACCAAGATCACTACCTATACTAGAAAGGAAAGCAGCATTGTGTTGCAGACAAGATGGAGTCTTACATTTCTGCTACAAAATAGCTTTTACTTCCAGGACTAGAACAGAAAACACAAAAGCTGAGCTCTTTTAAGAATTAAAAACCAGTGTTTGTGTGTGGAAATATCTGTAAGTATTAAATGGTACTTTTGTATCATTATACATGTACATGTTTTTAAAGGTTGTACAAATACAAGAAACTACTGTCAAATTCCAAGTTACTTTTCATTAACTACTGGCTGTTTCACCCATGGAAACTACTTTGAGGCAAAATAATCTCATTGCTAATCAACCAGCAATGACTCCCGTCATTCCTTCAAAACTAAAAGCTAATATTTACGAACAAAAATCATTATAAAATCTTTGCAAACAATTACACAAACAAGGTCAAAATTAGTCAAACATTTACATGATGTGGAAAGGATAGAACAACCTTTCCAAGTTATGGTAGCTACTTAAAATGTGTGTCTTGGAGTGGAGGATGAGACAGGAGAGGCTTTGCTTCTTAATGTATATCAATAAATTTGTTTTTGAACCCTGTTAACATACTACTGACTCAAAAATTTACAATAGTTGTATGCTTAACATGTCACTACTACATTACTTAGTAGACATTTGCTCATCTTAAATTATTTGCTATGAACTTCACTTAACAGACATGTGCAAAGAAAACCTAACTGAAAGGGATGATTCTAATCACTTTGAAAGTTTAAAAGATCTTTACGGATCTTTAGCTTTTTACTATACAACTTAATGTAACCAATCTTATTTGTTCTCAAATAATTTTCTTCCCAAGTTTTAGAAATCATTGCTCTGTAAGACATTAAAATAGTAGCTCAAGAGAATGAGGACACAAGTCATGGACTGGGAGAAAATATTTGCAGAACACACCTGATGGACAGTTATCCCCCACCCCCTCAAAAAGGAAAAAAAAAAAAAACCTCAAGCAAACCCAATTAAAAGATGGGCCAAAGAGCTTATGGGAAACTTCACCAACGTAGACAGATAGCAAATAAATATATGAAAAAGTGCTCCGTGTTATGTCATTAAAACAAGGTAACACTACACATCTTTAGAATGGCCATAATCTGGACCAAGGACAAAACTAAATGCTGGTCAAGACTTGGAGCAACAGGAACCCTTGAGCATTCCTGGTGGGAATGCAGCCATGTGGAATAGTTAGGCAGTTTCTTACAAAACATATTCTTACCATACAGTTCAGCAATCACGCTTGGTATTTACCCAAAAGATTTGAACTTATTTTCACACAAAACTTACACACCCAATGTTTACAGCAACTTTATTCATAATTGCCAAAACTTGGAAGCAACCAAGATATCCTTCAGTAGATGAATGGATAAACTATGGTACACCCAGACAATAGAGTATTATTTATCACTAAAAATAAGTTATCAAGCCATAAAGATATGGAGGAAACTTGTGAATATTAAGTGAAAAAGTGCAATCTAAAGAGATTACATACTGTATTTTATGATTCCAATTATGGCACTTTGGAAAAGGCAGAATGTAGACAGTAAAGATCAGTGGTTGCCAGGGGTTAGAGTAGGAAAAGGCAGAGGCAGATTTTAGGGGCAGTGGAAATACTCTGTATGGTATCATAATGATGGTTACATGTCATTCATTATACATTCATCCAAATCCATAGAATGAGCAACACTAACAGTTAACTATAAACGATGGACCATGGGTTATTACAAGTTCATCCCTTCTAAGTGTACCACTCCTGTGGGAAACGAGAGAAGCTCTGTATGTGTGGAGGGGTATATAGTTAGTCCCTGTACTTTTATCAATTTTACTGTGAATCTTAAAACTGCTCTAGTAAGTCTAACAGACTTAATAGGGAATACTATGTGCCAGGCACTGATACCTCCTTATTTACAGATGAAGCCTGGTTCCAGGGTCCATTACCCTCTTAACCACTATGCCACAAACTGCTGGGAGTTCTTTCAAGTTGATTCACTGGGAAGCCCGCCTCAGATCCTAAAACCCAAGGCTCATTTTTTACAGATTATAAAACCCACTGTAGCCGCAAATCATACAGCTAATTCATATCATGATGTATCCTAGTCAAACTTTTTTCTACCTACTTTTTTGACAGAGTGAGGAAGGAAGACAAACACTGATGTGAGGGAAACCACCAATCTGTTGCCTCTTGCATGCCCCCAACCAGGGACCTGGCCCACAACCTGGGCATGTGCCTTGACTGGGAATCAAACTGGCAACTGTATGGTTTGCCAGATGCTGCTCAACCCATTGAGCCACACCAGTCAGAACTAGCCCAAAACATTTTTGAAGGCTGTGTAGATGTCTCTGAGAAACATGCTTTAAATACTTCATATAGTGTTCCATAAACATTCCAAAGTTAAGACCCTTTTTTACTCTTGCCTGGGAAACATTCAGGTTTGCAAACAGGTCTTTATAGAAATTAGTCTTCCTAGCTGCCTTACCCACTTTGGTTCCCTTTTCCCCCATTGATGCTTCCCACAAATTAAATCCTTTAAGACCAAATGTTAATGTTTCTCACTAATAAAAAAAAAAAAGAAAAAAGAAAAAAGAAAGCCTACAGGAGCATTTATTCAAAGACCTTTATAAACCAATGAAGTCTGAGGGTCCATCATCTTCCTAAGTGTCTTCTTTATCCCCCACATACTGTTAAAGCGTATCAAGTAAATGTTGACAGAGGTAGCACTGAGAAGGGAAATTAAGTCATAGTTTTAAACCATAATTATCAAGTCAATTGCAATCCTTCATATTTCAGGAAATACTACCTTATCCCATATATAAACTTCTACACATTTCCCTCACTTGAAGCAAATGCATCAAAACCCAAAGAACTGTGAAAAATAGTGAACCAGGATAAGTATTTCCATTTGAAATTCTATCACTGAGCAGCCATGTTTCTGTTCTTGGCTTCTGTTACTCCATGGGCAAAGTCAGAACTTGTCAGTTATTCGTTATCTCACGTGAAAGCTTCAAAGACCAAGCCCATGGATCCAATCTCTACATTAGGGCCACATCCAAAAAAGTAAATCAAAACTACACCTGTTCTCATGCCAACTGTCATGCCTAGAATGTCACCTATAAAATAAAACCAAATAGGGTAGGCAGACCATAATTGTTCAAATTTCCTTCCTTTCTTAGGTGATAAGATCCTAAAAATGCCTTTTCATTTCTTTCAAAAACAATCACCTGTTATGTATTATACTTGAAGACACTTCACAAAACTCATCTCATGGTTCTCATGTGAACACATGTTGAGATGGCAATGAAAAATGTACAACATAGCCATGTAAAATCTACACATGTAACTAAAAGATTATGAAACATTTTCTAATTATGTCTCTGTAGAATTTCTAACTATAGCTTAAAAACCCAATGAACAAGTTGAAGTTTCCCTCTGTACATGGCTTTTATTATTTACATAATACAATATAGCATCAATGCTGGATAGCATGATTATGTGCAATACATAAATATGAACTATCTGTACACATCTGCAAATCTAACTCAGAACTAAGGTACATAAAATTGAAAGCAAAATTGAATGCTTTAAGAATGAAAGTAAAAACTAGGACTGAACACTGCAATAAATCAGAGTAGTGCCTCGTGTACATACTTAACTATTTACAGATGAAAACAGGCATTACCACAACACTAATCTAACTATACTCATTTATATATTAAAAAAAAACACGCACATTTCATACATCACAGAAAACCTCCCATTATAACACAGAAGTGGTATTACCAGACAAGCATCAGTGAAGTATACTGCCTCTTCTAGTTGTTATTGTACAATGCTGTAAATAATGCAGCCCATGCAATACACCCAAGAACACTAGAGTCCTACACCCAAGTACAATTAATATGATAAGCAGCCCTCTGCAAGTGGTGCTGGATACCACTAAGTCTACTGCAGCCATGTTGGTTATGATTTTCCATGCAGAAGGGTAGTTACATTAAGAACTGAAGTCTTTAAAAAAGCTTTAAACATTCTTTCTTGAACCAAAACATTCAACAAAAGATGCACATGAAAAATTAACTGTTCAGATGCTTTTGCAACTTAAAATTCAGATGCATGTTATTCAGTAGTGCTGCTGTATTTGAAAACCAAATGTAGTTTTAATTTCTTCTTGTAAACAAATTAATCCTAGTGCAGTTCTGTGCTACACGTTTTTAGCAATGAGTAATGCAGACATCTTCTGGTGCAGCCAGCACAGTAAGCTTCAATGGTAGCTCAAACCCTGTTGCTTGATGGTTTTACTCCTATGACAACCAGTTGTGATGTTTACCTTTCACAGAATGTCTTATTTGACAGCTTTTAGACTGACTAGCCAGGCTTATACATGGCATCAAATACTGGTTTCATGGAAAGGTCTGATCCTCTTTATCGCCTTCTTCCAGCTTCCAAAGAACATGTGGAAATTAACAAGGTGAAGTTTAATTATGATGGAAGTAGACTGCCAGTCCTTTTCTGGTGTACCATTTTTAAGAAAAATACAGGCACATAACACTAGCCAAAGATTATACCTTGATTACATTCCCAAAAGGCAGAAACGCTGCAAACATGCAGAGATTTCACGGATTTTGTTTGGCACGTGGGAACTAAATTTTGTCCCTAGTATCTGTAATTCAATTTGATGTGCAGATTTTCATCCAATTTTATTTAAGGGAGGGCATATACATTTTGTAGGGCTGTACCTATCCAATTCTGCCTGTAACAAACACCCAAACATCCTAAAATATCAATAAGACAGACAAGTATAAAGTAAAACTCTGGAGAACATCAAAGGAAAATGGCCATGCATCTGCTCTTTAATGTTTTCCTACGATATATTAAAATAAAAACAAAGTTTCAGTCTCTTCACAAGTAGTAATTTATATTCTCTGGATTTTTTCAGCCACAACAACTGGATTCTCTTTTCTGATTTTTGCTGCAGCTTCTGCTTTGTAATCATATGGACAGTTGTGCTTGTCAGAGTAACGGTGAAGTCCACAAAACAAATTTCCACATCGGCAGTCAAACCCTGTACACGAAAGAGGAAGCAGAGTCACTTGGGAACTTGTAGCAATTAAAAGGGAGAAAAAATAATAATAAAAAGCCTTACTCACTATAGAAAGGGAACCAGGTTTCCACGACTCTTTGAAACATCAAAGACAGACAGAGTCTTGTCACTTCAAATTGTGATAGAGCTTTTAAACCAACCTTTGACACGATACATTCAAGTAACTATCCTTCCATAAACTCCTACAGATACCACACAGGGTAGAAATTAATTACACAGGCTCTGGAGCCAGAACAATGTGGATTTAAATTCTCCTCCTACCATATGTTAACTGGGTAATAATGTTTCAAATGAAAACTAGGGAAAGACAACAAAAAGCTGTGAGACTTAAAGGAAACAAAAAGCATCTACAATATTTTTTGCCTGGCTCCAAGTAGGTGCTTACTGTTTAGTTCAGCTACCTTTTAGCCAGGAGACTAAAGGAAATAATCAAAATGAATAAATTTTTATCAATCCAATAAAGGAAAGTAACTCCTAAGGTCTAAAGTTAATAAAAGGGTTTTATGTGATTAGCAAGACAAATGGAAATGAAACTGGACTTTCTATTCTTGAAAGTTGGGCATTTTGTTATAAGACCAACCAGCCCCTTATAAAGTTCAATAAGGCACACCTTATTGAACCCTGCTGTAAAATATACTCTGTCTAATGTGTTTTCTAATACCTGTAAGGCCAACTTTCTTTCTGCACATAAAACATCTGTTCTTCTTTGGTTTGGGTAACTCAGGAGCTTTTTCTTCACTTTGAGAAGTGCTAGGCTGAGAAACTGATGAACTGGGCTGAGTGACAACTGAAAAGTAAGAGTGAAAATTAGTAATTTGTCAAGAGTTCACTGGCTGAAAATTAACTAATTATCTAAGCTAAAAAAAAACAACAACAAAAAAACCCCCCCTAAAAGTCATGGTAAAAAATGTTTAAGAAGCCTTTCTTAAAAACATGTCTTAAACAGGATCTTTTACTTTTATAACGGAACTATCATATCTAAGAATTTCTTGCCAATCAACATATTACTTGTTCCTTTAAATTTTATACAATCATCACTCCAAATTCCTTTCAACTCACTCTTAACAGCTAGTACTGAGAAATAAAACCCCAATTTTAAAAGATTTTAAAGATCTGAGATGTTGGTCACATGCTCAGTTTTTCTATATTGTAATTGTCTACATGTAAACATCTTAATTAGGTCTGTTCAAAGTCATTACTACTCAGTAAATAAAGCTGACAACTTCTGAGGTTCTTTACTGCAAAAGCCATTTGGCTTTTATACTTTCTGGGCAGGGAGGGGGGGAAACTGTAGATAGATAAAACCAGCAAATTTTGACAAGTAAAACCCAAATCATCAATCACTGATTTCAGATCCTATAATTTCATAATTATTTTTCAATGTAACAAGTGCTTTATTGTCTTATGCAGAAAATCTGGAAGACTTTTTTTTAAAGTTCCTTTTGAAAAATTAGCAAGCACTGTCTTGATTTCTAAAGACAGAAAGATTAGCAAGCACTGTCTTGATTTCGGAAGTTTTGATTTTAGACGTAAGGATTTCATAGGTAAAACAATAATTTTGGTTTACATTAAAAAGTCCATTTTTCCACCTAAAAGGGCTTTAAGTTTTAGTTCATACATGACAGCAATAGAATTTATCAATATGAAGGCAAAAATTGTACATTATTGGATTAAAGTCCACATTACCATTACTTTAAAAATACCAAATTTAATTCTACTTCCATAAAATTCAACTACACCAGAAACACTGTAAACTGTAAACTAAATTAATCCAAAACCCCAAGAATAGCAAATCAGCATATGCAATGCTAAAATTACAGCCTAAATAGGTCAGCATCAATGCTATTAACGTAAATCCAAACTCTAGATACAAGGCAAATTGGTTTAATGACAACTTACTTGAAAATTCTTCCCAAATTTGTAACTCATTTTTATTAGAGATTAAATAGCCTAATATTAGGCTAACAGAATATTCTACCTATTACTTATTCCTAATAATCTACTATGACAACCTTAACACAATTTTTCCTGATGATACGGGAACAGTTTTGGGGAGGAGAGGAGTAGCAGCCATTTCCTTGACCATGCCTAAAAACTGAGCAGTGGTTCATAAGACATACAAGTAAGGGGGACTAAGAAAAGAAACATGATATAGAAAAAGGCAAAGAAACAGTGAACTACAGAATTACTACTACGAAATAATAATGTGGAGGCTAGCTACCGATCTAACCCACAAGAGTAAGTACTATTCCAAGGCCAGACTAATTTTGTGTTTCAAAACCAAAAATTCTCACACACACTAATTTGGTCAGCTTTTGCAGAAGGATGGAACTCATTTCAAAATACCAAATATGGATTCACTTGCCCAACTTATACATTTTCACCTTAACTTTATCACATAAGCTTGTGATATTATGTGATACTAGAAAAGGCAAGCCTCCAAAGCAGATTATATATGCGCTGACACTATTTCCTCACAATAAAGGTTTATATTGTATTCAGTCAACATGACCAGGAAATAATGAAGCTATCAAAAATGAACTATGTGCAATATAAAACACATAGATCCTTGCTCTAGGCCTAGCACAGGTAATTCAAGTAAATCAACCTCTTAGCACATTAGAAAACTTGTGGTTGGCACTGTATAAATTAAGCACTGACTCAAAGTCACTATCTAATGAAAACCAAAAATGCCTTCCCATACTGAGTTTTAAACTTTTATAAAATGAGATCCTACAGTTCCACCTGAAAGTCTTAGTATTTAATATCTTCTTTTGCTTGAATATTTTCTACAATACTAGCAGTATTAAGACTGAGAAATTATTACTTTTTATTTTAAAAAATTTTTCTTCATAGCTCTGAAATTTAATCTGTGTAATTTCTGCTGTTTTTGAATAATGCCTTCTCTAATGATTTAGATACCTTTAAAATATGACAGTAAACCACTTTTTAAGTTCATTAAATCTTAATACATCCTGTCTCCAGATTATAATCTTTGCTAATTTATTGGTGTGGGGGGTGGTGGGAGGTGGGTAGAGAAGAAAGAAGAGAGTAAAGTGACTATTTTACACTCTCGAAAGAGAGCTGGTTCTTGCTTGGTCTGTATTTTACAGCTCTCTCCATCTTTGGTCCTTCAATGGGAAGGAACGAATCCCCCCACCAACCCTTTCTCATACTACCAAGTCCAGAACTGAACTAGTATTAAACAAAAAGCATACCTGGCTCTGACACCTCTGTTTTCGGGGTAGTTATTTTGTCCTCTCTTGAAATGCTCATTTCTGTCATTTGCTGAGTTACAGGCAAGGCAGCCACAGGTACATTTCTATTTGAGTTCAAGCAAACATTTTTAAAGATGTTAAGGGTACTTCTTTGTGAGATAGTAAGTTCTCAGTTCAACTTTAAATTATATAGTATTTCCAACATGATCAATCGGAGCTAAATAATCTAAAAATTTAAAAAGATACTGGATGCTCTCAGCAAAAATGGTTGAGAATAAAGAAAGCAATCTGATAAATGTCTCATCAATTCAAGGCTGCATATTTGTAAAAATCACATTACTTTTAGAGCCAACTAGGAATTTTTAGCTGTGTCTGTAATCTGTTTAAGGGCAAAAGGGGGCAGTTTTGCCAAAAATGCCTTGTGTGGCATTACACTATAGTCTGCAAAGCCTTACTCCCTACAGTCTCTAAGCCTCGATTATAAGGAAATAAAAGCACAGCATTCTCAACACAGCATCCTTGGGGGTGTTATGGAGTGTGTTATAATACACATCTTTCCTCAATGACCTACAAGATCATATATTAAAAGATACTGAAATCCTGACTATGCAACACATGCAAAGCCAAGGGCATCTGATAAATTAACACCCTTATTATACATGAACATTCATAATTATAATAGTATGGATAGCACAGCTATCTCTGTTTTCTCCTTGTATTATAAAAACTCTGGAACAATCTTACCTTGATTTTTCAGATGTGCTGCCAGCAGCACCTTCACAGTTGTTTAAACTAGCGTCTGTTCTTTGTACAGATGCAGAATCTGAGGTAGGACTGTTGGAACCACTAGCTGTCCCTATTTTAAAAAAATGATTTGTAAGAAACAAAGCAATACAACACTCAGTATCAAGACTAAATAAGTAACAAATACTTGCATTTAATTAGGTTAGTGATTTAAGCATTCTCATTGTGCTGCAGAATCCTACACTTGAGCATCCAAACAAAAGTACATTATTAAAGTCATATCCAGTGAATACAAGTGTAAAACAAAACCTCAAAAACAAAATGAAACAGCTAGAAGACACTTGTAGATAGTCATTCATTCCTGATGTAGTAATGCCAAGTACTTGGACTGTTGCTTTAATTTCAAGCTTTTCTCAGGTCTTCTCTCTCTGGGCCTTCAGCATTGATTCTCAGTCTTAGACCCCCATTCTTGGCTCTATGTTTTCTTTTCACCAGTTCTTCAAATGAGTTTGTCCTTGGAAACAACTTACCCATTGGGCTCATTCTGCCACTATTCTGCTGCCTCTGAAGATGTTCTTTGTAGCAAACAGAACACATTCCATTTGTCCTAGGATTCCCATAAAAGCCACATCCTGTACTACACAGCATGGGCCCTGGGGTCTGGTTAGTCTCCTGAGCCATATTTTTCAGCTATAAAGAAAACAAAAACAAAACTTTAGAAACTAGTATATAACTGAAATAAAATCACTAAATTAGTATAATGGTCACCAATGTACCTTTGTTATTCTGAACACTAAGCCTATTTTTAACAAAGGCCCAAATTGTGTTATCATTTTAAAAAGTAGGCCAAGAAAAGTTATGAATATTTTGCTCCCTTTGTAAAAACAAAGGCATGAAAGGAATCATTTTTTAACTTGATAAATAATGACCTATGATTTCATTCTTTAGGACAAAAAAACCCCCCACCATTAAACATTAAAATGTATTTATATTACTTGTCACTATTGCTGTTTGCTTCAGTTTCTGAAAAGGTCACTCTGCCTGTTATCAAAATTGTATTTAAATCAATATAGACAATTGATATCTCCTGATCGTTGGTTAAAATAGATTAAATGGAACTTGTAAATGTCAAAGAAAGCTACAAATCTTAATTACTATTTATTTTTATGACTATTTTTTAGAGAACGAGAAACACTGATTTGTTGTTCCACTTATTTATGCATTTTTATAAAAATCCTCATCCAAGGGCATTAGAGAGAGATGAAGGGAGGGAGAGAGAAACACCAGGAAATGTATGTGCTCACTACAGGGATTGAATCCACAATCCCTAGTTTACAGACACAATGATCCAACCAACCACAAGCACACGACACTGGCCAGGAACATTGGTATGCCCCAACCAGGAATTGAACCCACAACATTAGGGTATTGGGACAACACTAAACTAACATGAACTACTTGGTCAGGGCCTAATTACTGACTCTTGAGATCTACCAGTTCTTTATACACTTAGCTGTATATTAGATGTAGCTCTATGCTTTCTTAAAACTAGCACCCGAATATACTTGGGCTCAACTAGTAATTCAGTAATTCTGCTACTGGGCAGCTTTTAGAATATTGCAACCCTTTCACACAGCCTGAAAAGAGAGCTGGTAGATCATCTAGCTTTTCCTGTTGCCTTGGAACCAATGAGTGAAGCTCTTTAAAAATTTAGGGGGTCAGCTGCTTACACTTTTATGTTCTACATTTGAGATGTGAAATATGGGGCTGAGTACTTTAAAGTCAGAGCCTAGAATCCTGAGCCACACAACAAATTATCAGCCATAGCTTTCTCAGCCAAAGGCTCTCTTAAAACAACGGCTTGTTTTCCTCATACCAGAAAATTAAAATGGAAAATTGAGCTTTCCGAGCTCAATTTCAATGTAGCAAAGTAAAGCAATATAAATACACAATGTTTAGTAATGGTTAATATTTTATGCTAAGTTACCAGAAAAATCTTTATACAGCAAGGATAGTCTTGCTTTTCCACAAATCTTGTTAAAATCAGCACAAATAAGTTATCTTCTGTTAAATTTAGTATATTTTCCTCTAAGTTAAAGAGAAAATACACACTATTAAAAAAGTGGATTTCCACAACACCTAAAAATATTATGAATGCACAAAAAGCAAACTTGAGAACATTTTAGCAAAGAGCATATGCTCTAACTTGTCATTTCAATGTACCTTACTGTTGATGAAAGAAATTACTTTTTATTAAGTTATGAACACTTCAAGTGCAGGAAAAGTACTTCAAGCTACAACTTATCATCTTCTGGAATTCTATATGGTTTTTTCCAATTACCACTTCTAGAATACACTCTTTAGTGAGTTATTTAAAATTATGTCTCAATAATTATTAGCAATTTTTATTAACAAAATTACTTTTTAAAAGGATGGAAGAGGACTAACCAATTCCGACCTGGCAGAAGGATGATAACTATTCCCAACTAAGTAACAGTAACCTTTACTTTTGTTAGCAAAAGGACAGTTTTCAAGATGGAAAATATTTCAAACCAATCAAACTTGTACAGTGAGTGACCAAGATCCACAACTTCAAACAACAGTACTAATTTAGTTGACACTGTCTCTTTAAATAGTAAGTGGAATTTAGCTGACTCATTTTGGAGCAGAGCAGTGTAAACATTTCAACATCACTTAGGAAGTTTATTAACAAACACTTTCAGCTGGGTTTTTAAAAATTAGAGCATAATATGTGCAAAAAATGCTTCAAATAATAAACTATTTATTTGCATGCCCACTATGAAGTGTGTGAATCTTTACCCTAAACAAAAATTTGGTCCATTTCTCAGACTCAGCTTAAGAATTACGCTAGCTCACACTTTCTATACTAATTTTCAGTCATTGGACAGTGGCTTTAATAGCAAAATGGCCTGAATTTGACCCAACAAACATTAATATTTGTTAATCTGATTCTTAAAATTTTTATGTAAACACAATGGGGGGGGGAATCTCATCCAATGACTTCACTCACACCAACATGCAAAGTATTCCTTCTACCTTTCCTTCTTCGGAAAACACATCTACCTTCAATTCACTATAAATAATCTTCAACTTAGAGACGCCAGGACATTTAGTCTTCTACCTGGCTTCTCATCTTGTTGTCTGTCCACCATCCCCCGCCTCCTGCCCAGAAAGCCAGCTTTTAAATGCCATCACATGTGCACAGCTTGCCTTAATATTTCTTCTCAGAAGCTTAGATCACATGGGCGGACGCTTCAGCCTGTCACAAGGCTGCAATGTGACAGGCTGAGCTGGATGGAGGCTCTCACATAAAGCCTAGTCAACAGGGGCCTCTGAAATCAGCTTCTATTTATATCCCAGAGCCTGCCAACTCCTACACAACCCCAAAAACTAGGGATGCAGCATTCATACATCTAACATAAGAAAACAAAACAAAAAGATGCCATTAAGGCTGCTATAGTTTTTCCTAATGTAGAGAATTAGAGAACAATCTCAAATTCAATCTAGAAGATGCAAGCATCATTAATCATGCACGAAGCCAAAATGGTCAGGGTTGTTTATAAAAACAAGCACAGTACAGAGCATCAAGGCACCAACAATCGTCATGTTTAGTGTCAATTTATTCTTTTTTTTTTGGAGGGGGGAGTGGGGAAAGCCTGTCATCAGGTACTATGGCTCTCTCCTACTTGGCTGTATTTTAGAAATATACAGTATCATTACTAGTATCTTTAAAGTTGATAGAAACTTGAGCATTCACCTGTTTCCTCGATCATGTAAAGGTGGAATGTTTATTTTTATAGTTTTGGCTTTCTGTAATGCACAACTAAAAGAAAATAAAAACAAAACAAAACAATCCAAAACCCTGAACAACTCTCTAACCTCGAATAGAAGAATTCAAAGAAAGGCTTTTCAAACCTATAGAATTTAGTTCTTCCAGGTGCACATAATGTTAAGAGATGTTAAGAATGCCCGCTCACCTGGACTTGATACCTGAATTCTAGACTCTAATCTACCTCTGACTAAGCCAGTGACCTTGGGCAAGTCCTCACTCTCCGTACGAGTTTCCTCCTTGCCAAATGCAGTAGATTAGTGTGATTTTTAAAAGGCTCCTTTCCAGGCTTAATATCGGGCCCGAGAGACAGAAAATAAGGGAGAACTAAAATAAATCCCTTTTAAAAAAATTCTTTAAAAACTTGAGAGATAAAATTGCAGTATTCTTCTAAGTCAATTCTGAAATCCTGTTTAAAAATGAGTTTAAAATGAAATTTATAATTCTTAAGGCTGTAAATTACCTAAATGCCTGGTACAGAAACGGGCTATGACCTGTATATTACTTTACACTTGTACGTCCTTATTCTGTGGGGCATTCAACAATAAAGATAAAAACCCGGGCCTTTTCCAAAACACAGCTTCACGGAAAGCTTGGAAAGGAAGCACAGAATTTCAGTTCAACAGCCTAAATGCATGAAACAAAGGGGAAGGTTCATTTCCCTAATAAAGGGATCTTGGGCGAAAACACAAAGGCGCTGGGAAAACTAAACACGACTACAGATTAGACCCCTCACTCACGTTCCACAGAATTTTAGAAGTTCAGGTCCCACTGGTTCCCCACCCCCCTCCTAGCACAGGCCTCGCTCAGGAAAGCCCGACAGGGCCTTCTTCAAAAACTACTGAGTCATGCAGAACAGCAGCTCCGCAGGACAGGCCGGCCCCTCACCCTACCCGCCCCGCACCGACCCCCGGGCTAGAACCGTTCCCCGGAGGAGGCGGCAGCGAGCTGGGGTCGGCGGCGAGCGGGGGGCAGGGGGCGCGGCCGCCTCTTTGTCTGTCCGGGTCCCGCTGCCCACGTCGGGCGCCGCAGCCAAGGGAGCCCGGGACTCTCGCGAGGGTGGCCCGGAGCCCCAACCCCCGGAGGACCCACGCGGGTATTGTTCCAGACCGAGAGCACGCGACTAAGCCGGGGGGGGGGGGCAGGGAGTCGAGCCCTTGGGCCACGACCACAGGATGACGCCTCCGTCTTTGTGCTTCCTGAGCAGGCGGGCGGGCTCCCCTCCCCCGGACACCACCATCCTGGACCCACTCGGGCCTAATCGGAGTTCGGTGGCGTCCCGGCCCCCCCAAGCCAACTCCCCGGCCTGGCACGAGAGGCCGGGCACCCTCCCCCCACCTCCCCACCACTTACCCTGCGTGAGCCCGAGTGCAAGAGCCCGGCTGGCGCGTGACGCCGGGGCGGTGGGGCCGGTCCGAAGCCTCCGAGGGGGGCGAGCCGAAAGCCCTGAAGCCGCCGCCGCGGGCCAGGAGCCAGTAGGCGCCGCAGGCGGAGGTGGCGCTGCCGCCGCCGCGGGGTCCTTTTGTTCTTGCAGTAGCACCGACCGTGGCCGGGACGCGCCGGAGCTTGGGAAGTGGGAGGAGGGAAGTGGAGGGGGGCGAACAGAGGGAGAGGCGGAGGGAGGACCCGAGGCCGCGGCTGCTAACGCGGCTCGCGTCGCTCGCCCGTCGTCGCCTCACGCATCCACCGGCGGCGGGTAGAGCCGATTACGAAGACGAGCGGCGCGCGCGCAGCGGGAACGGCACCGCGAGGGCTCGCTGGAGGCGCTCTCTGTCACTTGAGCTACCGCCGATGAGGCCCGTAGCTCCTGGGAGCGAGCGAAGAGCCCGAAGAAGAGATGCAGATAGAACCCCGGTCCTCCCGACTGACGCTTCCTCCCCGCCCCGCGCTCCGGCAGTGAGGAAAAGAAGGAGGGAAGGGGCGGGGTCTGTGCGTCAGCGAAAACCCCGGCGGCGGTGGGGGTGCGTGGTGACGTAGCCTACCCGACATCCCGCCCTCGACCCCTGTCACCGGAGGCGGGGCGGGGCCTGACCGCGCTGCCGTCGCGTGTAGCCGAGTCACTGGCCTGGCTGCGGCCCCAGGGTGGAGCTGGAAAGAGCGAGTCGTGCGGAGGATGAAGTTCTATTTTTAACCTGATTGTTCGCCCTCAGCCTCCCTCCTTCTTATTTCCTCACTCCAGCCCGCTTTTTGCCATCGGAGTTCTCACGCTTTTTTCTTGATCCATATCCTCCTTACTTTTCAATCACCAGTCCCCCACCCTTCAAGAATTAGGGGGATTCGTCTAGAGAAGAGGAAAAAGAACTGATTTCTACCTTTGAGGGGTTCTTTTTGCTTGTTTATTAAGTCTACACCCCGCCCCATTCTCTCCCAACCGCTTTCGGTTCCAAAGTCCAGCTTGAGTTTTGCCGTGACGCGGCGGGTAAGGAGCTGGGCAGGAGGCACTCGCTCAAGGTCACGGGTGGAGCTGCCACTTCTCGGCCTTGGTGTCTCCGTTCTGAACAAACTGTTTTGGCCAGCCTGTAAAATCCCTGGAAATTGACTATTCCAGCAAAGCATCGTGAACTGGGAAAGTACCAAATGTTCTACTCGAGAAATGGAGTAAGGGACAAACAAGTTAGACTTGAGGCAGAAATCAGAAAGGAGGAGGTGTTAAAGAGGAAGTTCAAGACGGGGGAGGTAGTATTAGGCGGACAATTCACAAATGAGGCACAGGACCGAACTAATTTGAAAGGGTGAGTTAAAACAACATTTACAAAGCAACGACCCGGCCCCTCCCTGCCCCTCCACCTTACCTCTCTAAGTGATTTTAGTTCAACTCCAAAGGACAATTGCTAAAACAGAAAGAAATTGTGATATTTTCTAGTAACCAGTAGCGCAGTGAATAAATAAGTGATGTTTAGGGCTATGTTAGCCACCATTAAGAATGGAATGAGAGGTCCCTTCAGTGTTTCCCAAATTCGCTAATCAGAAAAATCACTTGGGGTGATTATTTAAAAGATTCCTAGGCCTCATCCCTGGAGATGGTTTTGGTTGGCTTGGGGCAGAGGTCAGGAACTTGTATTTTAAGTAATACTCCATGTAGCCCTGGCTGGAGTAGCTCAGTGGATTGTGCCTGGGCTGCGAACCAAAGCATCGCAGATTCGATTCCCAGTCAGGGCACATGCCTGGGTTGCAGGCCACAGCCCCCAGCAACCGCACATTGATGTTTCTCTCTCTCTTTCTCCCTCCCTTCCCTCTCTAAAAATAAATAAATAAAATATCGTTAAAAAAATGCTCCATGTAATTCTTCTTTATAATTTTGTGTATTTGGGAGAACCTACTCCGGGTCTGTGCCAAAATTTCCAAAATTAAACAGTATCCTGCCACACTGAGCAGAATACTTAGAACATTTAGGCTTATTTCTGTGGTCAATTAATGTGTTAGATATGTTAAGTAGTTTCAGTCACTGATTCCAGGGCCATTGGAATTTATTCCCTTGAACAAGTAGATAATTTAGTAAAAATAGCTACCATTTACCATTTTTGGTGCTGAGTATTATCCATTTAGGGTCTCATTTAATGCTCATTGCAGTTCACTGAGATATGCATGCACTGTTACAACCATTTTTATAGTTAAGTGAGTAATGAGTAAAGAAAAGTGACTTGCTTGAAGCACTGAAGGACAGGGAAGATATGGAAATGATTCTTGCTGAGGAAAACATAACAGAGATTCCCCTCCACTCCCAGAATTTTAGTTATTAAAAAGTAAAACAAGTTAATTCTTGAAGAAGCATAATTTAAAAAACCCAAGAAGAATAAGGCAAGCTGGTTATTTAATAATGTATTGCATAATATGCTTTGTAGCATCTTCTAATAATTTGTGTTCTCCCAACCATTTATAATTTTCTCTGTAAGACTATTTCAACCAAGAATGTGGCTGATACTGAATCTAGTTGTAGCAAGATTTTCTTCTAGCAACTACTCTAGCCATTCTCAAAGGGTGATTCCTAGACCAGCAGCATCGCCATAATCTGGGCACTTGTTAGAAATATAAATTTTTAGGCTCCCACACCAGACCTATAGAATCACAAATTGGGAAGTTTGGTCCAGCAATCTGTGTTTTAACAAGTTTTCTGTGTGATTCTTATGTGTGCTCAAGTTTGAGAATCGTTGGCTTACCCCTACCACGCCATCCAGTAATGTCTCTCAGGTGCTCACACCAGGGAAAGGGAAAAGGTTAAACAAAAGAGAGAGTTTTTTTTCATATTACTGGTGTAACAGATTATGGAATGTACTTCAGTGGAGTGGTTTCTTTCCCTCCCTTTGGTGTTCTAAATTTTCAGTTGGACTCTAAAACCAATTATACAACACAAAATATATAATAGAATGCTCTTAATATAGTATGCAAAAAGTCCATCACTCTGGTCATCAGAGAAGGTTGAAACTAGCATTTGTAAATAGATAACAGGAAAAAGCAAAAGGAAAAAAAGTGAGGCGTACTCAAATGTGATGTTATCAATTAATTGTTCAAAAACACTTTGTAGAATTTCATTATATGGACGAAAAGTGGTTCTATGGAGAGTATAACCTTACAGGTTATGTTCACAAATTCCTTGTTGGGCAGGTCATAGTGGGTAGTCACTACCCAGGTATATACCTATCTTTCTTCCTTCCTTCCTTCCTCTCTCTCTCTTTCTGTCTTTAGATTTTATTTATTTTTAGAGAGAGGGGAAGAGAAGGAGAAAGAGAGGAAGAGAAACATCAATGTGTGGTTGCCTCTTGTGTGCCCTCTTCTATGGCTTGGCCTACAACCCAGGCATGTGCCCTGACTGGGAATCAAACTGCAACCCTTTGGTTCACAGACAGGCACTCAATCCACTGAGCCACACCAACCAGGTCTGCATATAACTTTTTTAGTAAAAGGTTTATCTTTGCCTTAAGCAGGCCCTGTCCATTACTTTTTCTAATCTAGGTTAGCAAAACTTTGAAATAAGCATAAGCATCCTCAAGAGAGCACATAATTAATAATTATATAATTGAAGTGTCGGGGAATCCAATAATGAATTGGTTTTAGACTCAGATCAACAAGTGGTTGACTGAATTTTTCCCCCCAAGAAACTGATAAAGCAAGTAGCAATTTAATTGTATAGATATTTTGGTAATTTTGAAGCCATACTTATTTTCAGTGAAAACAACTTGATTAAACAATCTTCAAATAAATGATGTGGATATCTTACCTGATTAGCGAAGACTTTTAAACAAACTCCAGATACTGTCAACACAGCCATAAACAATTTTAAAGACTATTTAAATGAACAAAAGCCTTTATTATTTATGTAAGCCAAGAATTTATAAGGCGAGGGAAATTGATGAGTGTGTGTGTGTGTGTTTATGTGTGTGTGTGTATCTGTTAATATAACCTTTTAAGACAAGGTAGTTTAGTCTTAAGAACTTGAAGAAATCTTTGTTATTGAACAAACTAGGTATGAATGTTTAGTTTGTATTCTAAATCTCAGTAGTTAGCTCTGGGATTGGCTCTGAAACAACACTTCGGAGCATATTGTAACTTTGGCTCATGGGTGGTGAGTGGGCAAGAAAGATAGGAAAGAGGTACATGATTAGGTAAGAACCCAGCAACTGGGATGGTATAAAGCTCTGGCAGTGGAAAATTCGTATGTACTAATGGGCTAGCCATTTGGCAACAGAAAAAGGTCATAGAAAGCAGGTAGATACCATCAGGGAGGTCAGAATTTAGGCAGAAGACTATAAGAGAAAAGTGGACAGGGTGGGCCTGTGTCCTAGAGGAATGCAAGTTGTAGGCAGAGAGCCAAGGCAAGTGCCCCATGTTGGTGTAATTTTTTAATTTACAATATATATTTGAAAGCATTAATTTGATAAATTTATACAACAGCCCATTGAAATAGGTATCATCATCTCTCCTTTTATAGAGAAGACAGAAGCTCAAAGTTGTGTGTCCTATCCAATGACATACATTAAGAATCAGAACTGGAAATTTAACTCTAGCCTTCTGTCCCTTAGTTCTTTGCTTTGCTTCCTCTCCAGGCAGACCTCTTTCCCTTTTAATTTATGCCATAAATATATTTCCCATTATAATGAGAACCACCCTTTTATATCCTGTATATCACCCATATCACTCAACATTGTGACCTTAATGGAAACTATGTTTAGATAATTTCTTCCTACCTAACAGGCAACTCTTCCCAAGTTTCTTTTACTGGCTCCAACTTTTCTATTCAACTCCTAAAAGCAGCATTTCTTAAGTCTAGGTCTAGGTCCCCAGTGCTCTTTGTTTCTTTTTATTTTAATCCTCACCCAAGGATATGCTTTTATTGATTTTAGAGAGAAAGGAAGGGAGAGAGTGTAAGAGGAAAAGATATCAATGTGAGAGAGAAACATTGAGTAGTTGCCTCCTGTACAGGCCCCGAATGGGGATTGAACCCACAGCCTAGGTATGTGACCTGACCTGGAATCCAACCTGCAACCTTTTGCGGTATGGAAAGACACTCCAACCAACCAAGCCACCTGGCCAGGGCTCTTTGTTACTTTATTGCACATACTCTCAGAATGATTTTACCCACTTCCATAGATTTAAATGCTATTTGTACTCACTCCTTAGCCTACCAATGCTTGCTTTTTTTAATTTATAAAAATACTTATTTTAAGGTTTTACATATAAAGATTTTCAATTTAATCCAGGATTTTTTTTTTCAAACTAAGTGTATACTATATCATTGGAAGAGAATTTCATAGCTTGCCACTACTACTGTTGAATTGTGAATAAATGGCAGGAGCTATAAATAGAGATGGGTTTATATTTATTCCTTGTGCATCTTGGCTCTAGAGTGGCCAAGAGAAAGTTAGAACCTTGGAATCCCTGAACAGGTGCTTC